GAAATTGTTGTTGTTACTCTTAAGACCCTGTCGAATGATGGCCCGGCTCAGATTGCAGGTGATGTGAAATGCATGAGGAATGTACAGGCGCTGGGCGCTGCGGGGGCGTGGCAGATGGCTTTTACATTCGCTTTTTATGGCCATAAAAAAGACGGAACTCGTATGCATATGAATATTCCTCTGCTTCTTCTTCTTCCTCTTTTTGCGTTGTATTCTAATGGAGCTGAAGCTGTTTGTTGTTGCTGTTGTTGTTGCTGTTGTTGTTGTGGTGCCGTTAGATGCATTGGGAATTTTATTGGTATTGTTTGTTGTTGTTGTTGTTGGTGTTGTTTCTGATGTTGGCACTGCTGTTGATGGATTAGCGAGCGTTAGCCAAACAGCTGTCGTTGTCCAGAGACACGTCGACTCCACTTTCCGCATTCAATGCATCATGTGCTTGAAACTGGCGACGAGGACAACGCTGACAGCGTTGCCACTCAGCTCCCAAAGGGCATTGGATTACATGGATTTTATTATTATATATGAGCTCATACTGTTATGCCATTAGGCCGCTCTCTCGCTCTCTCTCTCTCTCTCTCTCTCTCTCTCTCTCTCTCTCTCATCCTCTCTTGACCAATTGGGAAATCATTTTCAATTACAGTTTCTAATTTACTAAAATAATATTCCTGTCTCTAAACTATCATTGTGATTGACAGGCTTTCAGAGGCCATTGGGAGAAAAACATGTAAATGGGAAAATAGTTTTAGTTTAGTTTTTCAGCATGATGGGACTATTTTTGATAGAAAAGTATAATTGAGTTTTTTTGTAGGATTTTATCAATTTTCATATGACATAGTTTTGGTATAACTGAAATTATTTATTTTATTATATATTATATATGTACATATATGTATTTACAAAAAATGTATAATATTTATGGTATTATATTTTTAATTTTTTTATATTTATATAATAGATTATACTTACTATATTATGCTATTATATTTTTAAAATTTACTTATATTTTTTTTATATGTATAATAAATTTTTTAATTTTGCATATTTTTTTTATATTATATTTATTTATATTTGTTTTTAAATATATTTATATATTCATATATTGTTGAAATCTGTTTATATTTATTATATATAAATTCTCTTTTTGTATTTATTATATTTAAAGAAGCCTTTGTTTGCTTTGTTCAATATTGTCATTCATTCATAATTTATCTAACTCTCGTATTTCGAATTTGTATAGTCAAAGAGCATTTCCATTGAAAAGCCGCAATGTTGGTCTCATATCTAGTTAACTTCAATCCAAATGACATTTACACAAACCAATAAATAAACAACGGACTCAAATTGATTTCCCAAGAAAAATTCGTGCTAAATTTCGCCAGAAGTGACTTTTGAAGTACCCATAAAAAGATTGCAGACAGCAGGACAAAAGAAGGTCAAGCTTACACAGAAAACATAATTAAAGCGTGTTTAATGTACAGAAAGCACATTCACTGTATTCCTTTTCAAGTTTATGAAGTGTGCACAGCAGGTTTTATCAGCGCAGACAGCAGGCGACGTAGATGCATAGATACACAGACAGGGAGACTGAGGGTATGGAAGCTGAGTATGCTGCAGATACTTTTACATAGATGCAGATAGATAGAAGCTATGGATATAGATACAGATACAGATACAGATACAGATACAGATACAGATACAGATACAGATACAGATACAGATACAGATACAGATACAGATACAGATACAGATACAGATACAGATACAGATACAGATACAGATACAGATACAGATACAGATACAGATACAGATACAGATACAGATACAGATACAGATACAGATACAGATACAGATACAGATACAGATACAGATACAGATACAGATACAGATACAGATACAGATACAGATACAGATACAGATACAGATACAGATACAGATACAGATACAGATACAGATACAGATACAGATACAGATACAGATACAGATACAGATACAGATACAGATACAGATACAGATACAGATACAGATACAGATACAGATACAGATACAGATACAGATACAGATACAGATACAGATACAGATACAGATACAGATACAGATACAGATACAGATACAGATACAGATACAGATACAGATACAGATACAGATACAGATACAGATACAGATACAGATACAGATACAGATACAGATACAGATACAGATACAGATACAGATACAGATACAGATACAGATACAGATACAGATACAGATACAGATACAGATACAGATACAGATACAGATACAGATACAGATACAGATGCAAATGCGGTGACAGCATTAAGTGCATACAGGTGTAAATTGTAGCTACGCTTACAAAGCTGCATAGATGGATGCCAGCCACAGAGTCAGATACAGATACAAGTGAACAGTTACAGATATCCACAAACACAGATACTTAAACTCAACTTTAATGTCAGTTGACGTCTGTTGCATGTGCTCTGTTGCAGGCAGCCAGCAATCATGCAACAAATTGTTGCCATCCAACTGCTGGCCAACTGTAATTTCGGGTCGTGCAACGAGTGCGGCCAAGAAGCAACTGTATCAACAATTCACGGACAAAGCGGATTACGGTGCAGCCAGGACGAGCTCTTTGAGCTCACATTTAAGCCACAGAAATAACATTTGATTTAGTGCAGCTAAAATGGAAAAGTGTAGCCCTAGATTGAATTTTCAACACCTGCTTTAATGCCGCGCTAGATACACCTACATACATATATTTATGTATATGTATATATATATATGTATATACATTTATTTTATCTAGATTGTTTTCTGCTCGCTTTTATGAGGGCAATTTGAGCATTGAAATTGTCAGGAATTTATGAGCATCTCAACTTTTTGTTCGGGTTTTGTGGCCCATTAAACATTGACCCTTTTTTTTCTCTCGCTCTCTTCACTTCTTGGGGTTGGCCATAAAACCAGGTTGATTTGCTGCTGGCTGGGCGTGAATTACGCATACGCAGCGTGTGCAGCGCGCGTGCTAATTGGCAACTGGGCTGCCAACTGGGCAGGATGCTGTAGTTTGCATACACACACACACACACGCACATAGCGAGTGCTTAGTAAATCAATTAATTTATGCAGCACACACATACAGACACGCACACTCGTGCAAAAAGCGCAGTCCGCTGGGCACACGCAACAGGAGATTCAATTACTGGCATCAAACAAAGAAAAGAGACGCCGCATGACGCGCAGCAGCTTATTAACTATTGAAATTGATTGGGCGCTGCGGCTGGGGGGGGAAGGGAATTAGAGAAAGTGAAACACAGAGAGAGTGAGAGTGAGAGAGAGAGAGAGAGGGAGAGTGAAAGGTATGCTAATGCCTAAGCAGTAACCCATTCTTAAAGCTCTTGTTCCTCTTGCTACCTAATCATGCTTAATTTGCTGCAGACGCATAAAGACACCTGCGTGCCAAAAGCTGGCCAAGTGCTTGGGCCATGGGGCAGTGGGCGGTGGGCGGTGGGCGGTGTGCGTGCCTGGCGCTTTTGTTGTGTTTGGAGTTCGTTGGCATTTTTGCGTGCTGGCTGCTAACTTGCGCCATTATAATGATGGCTTTTATGTGAATGTTAATGAAAACCGTTTTCGGTACAGTTCAATGCGACGCAAATTGTATAAGACAATTGTAATTACGCTTTAAAGTCGTTGGCTCTAATGGCATCTTTAGAGTGCTGCAGCAGCAGCAGCAGCAGGAGCAGGAGCAGCAGCAGGAGCAGAAGCAGGAGCAGAAGCAGCAGCCAGCTGTCACGTGTCACAGTTCATAAATCTAACTGCCTAATTTGCGACAATGGCACAAAAGAGCATTAAATCCTTGTTTGCCAGGACTTTACATGCGAGAGTGCCTGTCGCTGTCGGAATTACTCTATGTGAGTGTGTGTGTGTGTGTGGGTGTAAACAAATGTTGGCTGGAGCTAAAAGGGTTGTTTTCGTGTCCTGTTAATGTCACAAAAGTAGCTGCTTATATATGCTATTTATTTCTTTTTACACCTTTTTTTCAGCACCTTGCCTTTTGGCCATCAGCGGCACATATGTTTCTTAGCCAGTCGTTGCCATTGCATTTGCCATACGAAATTAAGTTAATGGCAATTTGTTACTGAATTTAATGCATGGCAAATGATTAAAGCAGGCGCGCCACATGACATGCATTTTAAATGCGCGCCAAATGCCAAACGCAATGAAATTGGAATGAAACGAACTGGAACATTGAGCTGAGGCAATTGAGCGCGAAATGGACTGAACTATAAAGCTCAGTCGCTCGCGCTCTTTCGCACGCACTAGCTCATCCTGGTTGCTGTGCGCTCATTGGCGCTTTTGCTTCGGCGCTGCGACGATGCTGTCTGCCCGGGACTGACACACACAGCGCCAGGCAAAAACAGCTGCAGCAACAGCAATAACAACAGCAACAGCAACAACAGCAGCAATGACTATACAGTTATACAGTTAGTTAATGCCGCCTGATCCCCGACTCAATTTGTTTATCTTATCAGCGTGCAGATGGCCTAATGTTTGTGTTTACTCACCCACCCACACCTAGCCACAAATCAACACTCTCGTAGAATCGGCAGCGTTTGTGCTTCAAAATTAATTGTTTTTTATTTTGTCAGTTCGTAAAGCAAATAAACAAACAGACTACAACAACAGCAACTGTTTACATAGAAAAGTTTGCTGCAACAGTTTTAATAGTCCCAGCAACATTTTGTGCCTCAGCAACATGGCTGAGGCCGAGCTACAAGTGTCCCTAGCGCAACATACTAGACTAGAACACTCTCGCTCACTCACTCACTCGCACGCACACACGCACGTACACACTCTCACCGCCCCCAGCACGTGGCGCAGCACTCACTCACACTCTCTGGCGCTACGCTCTGTTTCAGTTCCAGCTCGTTCCGTTCGCCTGAAGCTTTTGTGTGTGCGCCTGTTTCGGAGTGCCTGGCATTCCAATTGCCATTTCAGTTCCTCGTTGTAGTTCAAAGCGTGCGGTACATTTAGCGGCTGCCTCAGACTACAGAACAGAGCATTAAGAGAAAACAGTTCAATATAGCTGAATGCGAAACGTGCGCGAAGTGAGCAGCAGCAGTAGCAGCAGCAGCAGGCAGCCCCATTGGCCAACTGAGTGAAGTGTAAATAAATGTGTGCTAACCTCCCACTCTACCCGCTTTCTAAAACACACACACACACACATACGCGTACGTGCGCTATACATGTGTGTGTGTGTGCACTTGTGTGTTTGTGTGTGTGTTTCATCTTCATCTGTTTATGTTTGGTCTTGTGTTGTGTTCTCGGTTCGATGGCGCTGTCAAACAGCCCACCTGCCGCCCACCCCCCTTGCCATTGCCCCCAACCAGGTGTTATCCATTAGCCAGCGTAATAATATGCTTAATTTATGTGCGCTTCCTCTTTGCATATTCTTTATTACTCTTTATTATTGTATACGCTCGTGTTGGCTTTCTGCATTGCATTTATATATCTTATATATATATATTTTTATTTTTTTTTTTAAATGGAATTCGTTTGCATTTATCATTGTCTCCGCCCTTCACATGCCCATTCGCAATTCCCAATTTGCATCCGCCGCGGTAATCTTGCTTCGTTGATGGAGATTGATATTAAAATGTCAACAATACTTGCCAATATCCAATTTTATATGCAGACATGCATACATATGCAAATTACATATTTATACATATATACTCTATGCGTCTGTCAACTCTTATCAGCACAAAAAAATCCAATTAGCTGTTAGCATTGCAAGCACTGATAGGCCAACTGAAGCCCTCACTTCCAATGGCCAGTTGGTCAAAGAAAACCCTTTAAAAAAATATGTATATATATATGTATATATCTAGATAAAAGCTTTTGCACAGGTTTTTTAATTGAAAAACTTTCGCCAATTGAACTTCAATAAACAGTAAAGAAAGCGAACAACAACAACAACAACAGCAGCAAAAAAAATTGTACATAAATTGTGCAAGGCTAGCGCAGCTTCAAGGACAAACTTCTGCAGGTTTCGCTCTAATTTTCAATTAAAAATAAAATCCCCAACGCCCGCAGCTCCCGCAGCTGCCGTGGCTCCCTTGGCTCCCTTGGCTCCCAGCCGCCGGCCAAAGCCCCAGCCAAGTGCATTGACCACAACAAAAACTTAGAGCGAGCTCAACTTCCGTTCAGCTCCCCCTACGGCCCAGCCTCTGCCGCTGTCCAGGCCACATTTTCATTGTTCGTCGGTTTTTCTTTCGCTTCTGTTTCGGACAGTGAAAAGCTGCCTTCGAATTTTTTAGCCTGCGAGCAATTAAAATATGCATAAAATGTAAATGAGAGAAGACCACTTGGCAGAGACAGCCCCCAGTCATAGTCACAGCCCCAGTCCCAGCGCCCAACTGCCACCCCCACCCCCAACCCCAGCACAGACTCCATCTGAACGGTTTTTTCTTTCGCCCCAAACTCATTTAGCGCAAACGCAATTTAGTGCCAACTCATGTAATTAAAGTGCAACAACAACAACAACAACAAAACGGACAATGTGAACGAATATAATTTAATTATGAGATAATCGTGCAAATCACAAAACAAAACAAAGCAAAACAGAATCAGGCACACGGCAAAAGGAAATTAGAGTAAGTTGAAAATCTAAAAGAAATATATATATATATATATATATGAAGTAGGGGTATTCCCTATCAAATCTGTGCTTATCTTTAGCTGACCCGCATGGACAGCTAATAGATCAATGGAAAAACGCATTCAAGCGTTGAAATTTATATTTAAAACTATACAACAATAGAGCGTGAAAGAGAGTGAGGAAGAGAGAGAGAGAGAGAAAGGGAGACGGATAGGTAGAGGGTGTGAGATAGTGTGACAGAGTGCGAGCTTTGCCGCGTAATTAGTTTTAGTTGGCCACAAATGGAAATGAGGCCAATAATTGCCACGCCCACATGCTATAAAGGCTTTTAGCAGACACGCGTTCATATTAACCTAATTGAAATGTCCAATAGCTCAGCCAAAAGAGAATGGAAGAGAGAGAGAGGGCGAAAGAGAGAGAGAGAGACGAGTGTGTGTGTGAGAGAGAGATATAGAGAGAGAACAACCCAACACGCTTTTCATTGTCCTTAGCCATAAACAAGGCCGCATCCTTTTTCCGCTTTGTTGCCTAAAAAAACAGTTTTTGGGCATTAAAAATGTTTATGGCCCACGCAGCAGCAGCTACAGCTACAGCTGGCCATATGCATATAACTGGGCATAAAACTGTATTACATTTATTTATTATTTCGGAGCTGGCTTAGTTTTGGCCCAGAGATTAAGCATAGAAAAGAAAATGAGCTGCAATGCTATGCAGCCTTAGCGACTGTTTAATACCCGCTCGTATTTTAAGTGTTGATCAAATTATTTAAGATTACTACAGTTGAGCCATGAGAAATAGTTTTTAATAGCTTCCATGAAATGGATTCTATTATTTTTCAGTATGACTAAGCCTTTAAAAGTATGATAAGCCTTGTTTCTGTATATTCCCGCATTTTTGGCTATAAGTAATGCGAATTAGTTGCTTTAGTTGCTCAGGATCTATCCTAACTCTTCTAAATTTTTTCAGTAACTGTTTATCTACATATGTGTCAGCTTTTAGCGAGTTTTGATCTAGTGAGTTGAGAATCAAAGTAAACTTAAATCTTTAATTTCGTCTTTAAAGTTAAAGCAATATATTTTCCTACAGCTCATTTCCTATTCAATAAAATTCATTTTATAATTTGACTTTAGAGAACTTTCCTATTAAATACCTTTTGTAGTTAAAGCTCTCTTTTGAACAGTTAGCACTATATTATAAAGCTGATGAGTCAATCTCTTAACAAATGCAAAAAATATTCAACAACAATTAGAAGTCTAATAGCTCTAGAAAAAATCTCTGAACTTAAAGAATCTTGCGCTCGTTCTTTCGACACGTCGAAGCTATAAAAAATGTCTGCAAAAATTCGAAATATGTTGTATTGTATTGAAGATATATCTACGATTTTCCATGCCCTCAATGAGCACAGCTACGAATAATTAAAAATGAAATTGAAATATGAAATGTTTATATTGCTGTATGTCAATCAGAGAGTTTTACAAATATAAACATTTCATGTTTCAAGAAGCCCTCAATAAAAGTTTTTCAGCTGCGAAAGTTTCGCCAATAACCAATTGTGATCTTCAGCTTCCACTAGAAATGGACAGCCAGAGCAATAGCCACCAATATGCTCTCTTTGCTAATTGAACGAGCATCAAAAGTTTTTGCTTTTCAGTTAATTACAAGTTGCTGCGGTAACTTTAACTTCAGCAACGTGCCGCAAACAATGGCCCAAAGTAGCAAGACAAAGCAGCATTTATATGCATGTATGTGTGTGTGTGTTGATGGGCATATATGTGCTATATATGTATATCCTATATATACATGCCTTGGCATGAAAGGAAGTCTTTTTTTTCGCTGTTGCCATTTATAAATGTGCCTCAAATGATACTCTCATATAAACAGAGAGAGAGAGAGAGAGAGAGAGAGAGAGAGGGAGAGAGGGAGAGAGAGAGACAGGGAGGCACAGTGGTAGGTCCTACACCCCCTCCACTTTTCCTTTCTTCCGTGTGTGTGTTCGTGCCAGAGTATGTGGGCGTTGCGTGGGCGTGGCACATGCGGCGACGCTTCTAATTAGTGCTCCAGCAAGCAGTTGATGAGGGTTAAATTGGCAAATAATTAATCGCCGGTTAATTAAGGACTTACATGAACCAATACCAAAACCAGACAGAAAGCTGTTGCTGCGCTCTGCTCTCTCTCTCTCTCTCTCTCTCTCTCTCTCTCTCGGTCTCTCTCATAAACTCTTTTAATCATCTGCGTTTTTTCCTATTTTTCTCCGTTTTTGGTTATTTGGTAATTAAAAATAAATTAAATTTCAGCAGCTAAAATGCAAAAATCATGTTATTTCAGGGGAAAATGTGAATGGGATCTGGATCTGGATTTGATTAGGTTATGAGATATGCTGGTTAAGTGGGTGAAGCTGGGGTGGTATAGGTTTGAGAAGTTGGGAGGTTGAGTTAAGGCTTTAAAGGCATTTCTTTTTGAGAAATTAATATTGGATTTAATTTTTAATTTAATTTTTTTTATATTAGTTTAAAATAATAAGAAACTGTATATATTTTTATTTCAAATTTTGTTTTTATATATTTTAAATATAAAATTAATTTCCTTATAATTATTTTTTTATTTATTTTAAATACACATATTTAATAAATATATCTATTCAATCAACCAAAAAGTGAAATTGAGAAAATATTTTTATCTACTTTTTTTTATTATTAAATAAATTTAATAAGTTCAAAGTCCGTTCGAAAAGTTCCGGAAATTATGAGTGTTCTAGATTTACGCATATTCGATTTTTAGTGTGCCGTTATATTAGTTTCGGCTGGTATGCCTTACTAATGCCAAAAACTTTGCCCATTTTGACTGCTCAGTTCAGTTTGTTTTCGCTCCTATTCGATTTTGGCCTATTCCTAGAAATAGAGCAAAGAATCTGTAACAAATTTTGTGTGAAAAAGAAAATAAAGTGAGCGAACGCATTCCGAATGCTGAATGGGGCAGATGGCGAAGCTAACTTGGACTAAAAACAATGTTTATCGATGGTGCAAAATGAGGGCAAAATATATGGGGTGCTCTTAAAGAGACCATCGAATCAAGTATTGCAATTTAGACTTTAAACTGTTAGCTCTTCCTGGAAGATATTTCGTTGTGTTAAGATTAATGTCTGTGAATAGTTATTAAATACTAAAATAAAAAAATAATAATAATGTGAACTATATGAAAAATTCAAGCTAAATTGAAAGCGAAAGTTTTTTCCTATTATATTGATATTTTAATGATATATTTATTTTTTATTCAGATCAAACCTATCTAAATCTATAGCCATCTAAGGAGATGCTACTTCACAGATTTATTATTATTATTATTATTATTTTTAATTACAAAAATATTTGTTTAATAAACTATCTTATAGAGCTTAACATATTTGCATTACAAATTTCAAAAGAATTGAAGCAAAATATTTCCTAATTAATTCTTAACAAGCTGAAGTGCAAAAGCAAATAGCAACAAATTCCCAACTATTTGGGCAAATTGATAAATGTTAATAAAATATTGCCATAAGCTGCTATAATTGCTGACTGCTACGCCTCAATTAGGGTATATGTGGTGGGGTGTGTGCATGTGTGTGCCGAGAATTAGTAAAAATATTTGCAGTATTTATTCCATGGGCCGCCTTGGCGTATGCGTAATTTTGTGTTTTCTACGCTGTGCGCTTTACGCTGTTGCTATAGCCGTTGCTCTGTCTGTCTCTGAGCTCTGTAAACATTGAATACTTGTTTATATTTGCATTCGCAATTTTCAATGCTGCACACACACACACACACACACACACACACACACACACGCACGCATATTCGCTCTGAGCAGCAAATGCAAAGTGCGAGCATTTTTATTTTCTTTTCAGATTTTGTTGCTATTGTTGTTGTTGTTATTGTTGCTTGTTGCTTAAATCTCACACAGTCATTCATTTTTGAGCAATTCTTGTCTTGCCATTGCTTAACACACTCAAGTTGAATATTCATTGAAACTATAAATCTTTTATTGAGCATTTAGTGCAGCTGAGTCATTCAGCTGCGCGCTCAACATATGGTTTTTCCCTAGTTTTTCCCCAGTCAAACTATAACTCTTGGCCTTGGCTGGCTTTTCTTCTTTCTTTTTCCCCAGTTCCCCACTTTTGTAATTGCTTGTGTTTTAGGCGGTAATAATTTTATTGCATCCGTGCTTTAGATCAGCGTAAACAGACGCAAAGGGAAATGGGGAATATATTGGCCATACTCGCATTTGAAGTGGAAAACGCTTAGATAATGTGTGTGATTTTCACACAAACAAACAAACAAACGAACGGACAAACAGACAGACAGAATAGACAAACAAGCAGACAGACAGACAGACAGATAACTAGGCAAAGCAAGGCAACTAATTGGCATATGTTTAAAAGTAAAAATAAATGTTGATTTATAATCGAAATACAAGTTGAAATAATTAGTTTTTACTAAATACACAAATAAATATAAATAAAAAAGTATGAATAGTATCAATACATAAATATTACTGATAAGTCTATCTGGGAACGAATTCACTTACATAGAATGCAGCAAATCTTATCAAGCTGGTTGTCAGTAAGTGTCTAATGATATTCACAAATAACAATTGAAAGCTCGAGCTGATTGAGCTCAGCTACATCTTTATATAGCTATACGAACTTGAAGCTCAATTAAGATGATTATTTTGGTGTAGCGCAATACAGTTGGCATAGTAGATAAATCATTGAATGAGCTTCATTAATATTAATTTAATGTTAGCGTATTTCAATGGGAATGCATGTAAACAATAGCTCTTATGTAAATAGTTAAATAAAATAATTCCAATTAAATTGCTATTAAATTATAGCTAGAGGGATAAAAGGTATAATATATTGGGTAAAAGTGGTGAGCGATTGATGAGTGAAAATTGAAGAGCCGAGTTGGGGTGGTTCCTGTGATGTAGAGAATTATATGTAGAGATAGAGACCGAGCTAGA